TAATTTTATTCACAGGACCTAAAATCCTAATAGATAGCTTTTAACCTTAGACCAAATGCAAAACATTATATTATCTGTGAACGCTTATGAAATTCTTAGCATAAAGCATTAGCTCATCTTTCGTTAGAGCATAGGAGCTATCTTCCCAGTGTTTTTTTATTAGCCCCAGGTTTTCACCCAAGCTTTTTCCTGGTTGGTAGCCAAGACTTATTAAGTCATATCCAGATAAAGGAAATTTGGGAGTGGTGAAGGTACAAGCAAAAGCAATATATCGTTTGGTTGTGTTTATATTCTTAGCAGATTCAACTCCACATATTCTTACTAAATCACGATATAATTCTCTACCGTATAAAGATATATACTTTTTTTGTTCTTTTTCCGAAAGTTCAGTTGAAATATTATTAGTTAGTAGAAATAACAGTCTCCTTTCTTGTTTTTTTGAGAGACGTAGAAATTTACTTATATATTCTCCAAGATTGTCATCTTCAGTAGACCTCTTTCGAAACTCAATTTCTGATGGCAATTTTGTTATCGAAGCTGAGCTACGCTCCTCAAATACATCCACGTATTCTGCGATGCTCGCTTGCACTTCTCCTAAAAATTTCTTACCATAAATCGATTTCGAAAGAGGTCTAGTGGTTCTAAGGAGTAATGCTAATTTTACTAGTGCATCAGTATTAGTAAGAAGTTCTGAAGACAGAATGCAACAATTTACTTTTTGTGGAATAATTTCATATAAAATATCAAATTTTTGCATGCTTTCCAGAGTAGGGAAAGGATTATCACATTCCAGTAATTTAAATATTTCATCTCTTATTCTTTCTCCGGAAAGGCTTTGAATCATGTGTGAATGTTTTTTGCATACTTCTAATATTGCATTACTTAACTCTCCCACACATATTTTTGCATGAAACCGAAATGCTCTTAAAATACGTAAATAGTCTTCTTTAATTCTATCCTCTGCATTACCTATAAAATTCAATCTTCGTGCTTCTAGGTCCTTGATACCACAAAAGTAGTCATATATATGACCATGTCTGTCTGCATATAAAGCGTTGAATGTAAAATCGCGTCTTGAAGCATCTGCTTGCCAATCATCGGTAAATTCTACTTCTGCATGTCTACCATCAGACTTGACGTCATATCTTAGCGTCGTGATTTCAAAGGATTTTTGGTTTAAAACTGCAGTGATTGTGCCATGTTTTAACCCAGTTGGAATGGTTTTTATACCATACAGTTCCAGTGCCTTGATTGTCTGACCTGGAAGTAAATTTGTGGCTAAGTCGATATCATGAACATTTCTTTTTAGAATTGAATCTCTTACACACCCACCAACAAATCTTGCTTCACCACCAAATTCCTCTATGGCATTGATTATTAAATTAGTTTCATTATCAACTAGCATTCTCGCGTCAATTGTAGTTTCTTTAAAATGTCTGCTATCACTACATTACTATCACAACCCACTTGTGTAAGTTCAGCGTTGCCTCCACAGTTTTTACCAATTGTGCTGGATACTAATGCCTTTGCGCTAATTTTG